AGACTGATGAACTAGGGGTGTAGCTCAGTGTTAGAGCACTTGCCTAGCATGTCCAATCCCCAGCACAGCAGAAAAAAATGACACAGAATCATACTATATGAATTCAGTCAAGTACAAACACAAGAATAGAACAGAAGTAAAAAGTAATGGCAAAACAGATAAATTACACATAAATTAGAATGGAAACTGAATTAAAAATGTATGCTAGCATTATACACCTCCTGAAGGGATAGGTAAAGCACACAGCATAACTTACAGAGTATTCTTGCCAAAAATGTTTAGCCCATGTGCAATTAAGCCATTAGACATGTAATTTACAGGAAATTCAAGAGAGAAGGCAACAAGTTATATGATATCACAAGGAAATAAGACATCCAAAATGTGAAACACTCCACAAAGACAACTGGGTTAGTTTCTTTTAAAAGTTGTTTTCTTTCTTTTCTGGTGCTGTGGATTGAACCCAGGGCCCTATGCATGCTAACCACACTAAAAGTTATCACTGGCCTTAAACTCACTTTGTAGCCCAGACTGGCCTCAAACTCGAAGCAATTCTCCTGCTTCAGCCTCCTGAGTGCTGGGATTACAGGCATGTGCTGCCACGCTGGGCTCCTAGATGAGTTTTAAGAAACAACCAAGGAGCCAGGCATGGTGGTGCACGTGAGGCAGGAGGATTGAGGCGGGAGGATCGTTGTGAGTTCGAGACCAGCCTGGGCTATAAAGTGAGCTCAAGGTCAGCCTGAACTGCATAGTGAGACCCTGTCTCAAAAAAGACCAAAAAAAAAAATTGAGGAGTACTTGAAAATTTTTAACCTGAATATTAGATTATGGAAATAGCATTATTTGACAGGATACTGTATTGGGGTTGTTGTAGTTTACATCTAGGTGTCCCCCCAAAACCTCTTGCTCACGTAGATGGGGCTTTTGGCAGGTGATTGGATCACTGGAGTGGGATCGGTCCACTGATGTGATTATAGCTAAATGTGTTGGGAGGTGGAACCTGGTTGGAGGAGGCGGTCTCTGGGGGTGTGGCCTGGAAGGGTAAAGCTCCCTCCCTCCTCCCTTCACATCTCTCTGCTTCCCACTGCTATGCCCTGAGCTGTTTCTCCTCTGCCCTGTCCCTCTGCCATGCCACCTTGCCTTGGAGCCAGCCGACTAGGGACTGAAATCTACAAACTGTGAGCTAAAATAAACCTTTCCTCTTTAAGCTGTGGCTGTCGGGTATTGTGGTCCCAGCAATGAGAAAGTAAGACAGTGCCAGAGATGGTGACATATGCCTGTAATCTCAGCACTCAAGAGGCTGAGGCAGTGGATCGCTGTGAGTTTGTAGCCAGCCTGGTCTACATAGTGAGTTCAAGGCCAGCCTAAACTACATAGCGAGACTCTGTCTCGAAAAACAAAACAAAGAAAATAAGACAGTGGTTTTGCAAAAGAACGTCTTTATTTTTAAGAGACGTGTACTGAAGCTATTAAAGGGGAGACATGTTGTCTTACTTGGGAAGAGTCAGCACTACTCCCAGGAAGGAGGGTGCGAGAGTAACAGAGATGAATGAAACAAATACATAATGTTAACAACTGTTAAATCTGGGTATTGATGTGTACATAGGTGTTTATTGTACTTTCAACTCTTGTATTTTTTAAAGTATTCATAATAAAATATTTTTAAAATATAGCCTCTATCTTTGTTTTGGTTTTTGTTCTTTATATGGCCTCTACCTTGAATCTGTTCAGATGTTAAATAAATTATATTTGTGATTTTCTGTTCTGCATATCTCTACAGTTTATCTCTGTTTTAGAATAAATAGTGGCTATGGGGCTATTGTTAAGCTTTATAGTCCAAATAGCTGATGAAGTAAGTGGGTGTAATTCAGTTCTTCCAAATAGGAAGGGGAAGGGGTGTGTGTGTACATGTTCACCTCTCTGTCCCTAATCTAAAGAGATGTTACTCGGGATGTGTGCCACACATGGGAAAGTGTGAAAGCAGGAAAGAGTCGGGATCCCTTGTGGCATTTCCTTAGAAAAAGTTCCAGCTGATCCCAGTCTAACCATGAGAAAGACACCAGACAAATTCCCATAGGGGGGGCCTTCTACAAACTATCTAGCAGTCTAACATTCCATAAAACTGTCAATAAGGAAAGCCTGAAAACCCTGCACAGCTAAGAGGGATCTAAGGAGACATGAGAGTATTGAACGTAATGTGGCATCCAAGTTGGGCTCCTGGGAAAGAGAAAGGGGTTAGGTGAAAGTAGGAAACCTGAACAAATTGTGGATTTTAGTTAATGTATCATATTGGTTCATTAATTGTAATGTGTAATGTGTATACATGCCTGTGAGAACTCTACCATCTTCTTGATTTGTCAATTAATATAAAACTTCTAAATTTTTTAATGTTCAAAAATATTTCATATTTTCTTTAAACATTTTTTTAGAGCTGGGTGTGGTGGGGCATGCCTATAA